TAGTCACCCTTCACTCAGCACACTCAGTCACCTGTAGTTTACTAAGCTGGCCTTGTCTCTACACTGTTCATTCTACCTAGAATGTTCTTTCTCTAATTATTGGTCTAGAAAAGCCTATTCATTTTCTTAGGCTTACTACATATTTGTTCAATAAGTGATTGATTGGTACCATGCTAAAATGTATACCAAAATAAGATTCGGTGCAAAGATTAAGATCCCTATATGCCCTTTTAGCTATATGACACCAAGTACTTGGGTTTTGCTAGGCCTTCATTGATGATGTGATAATTCACTGTATCATAGAAACTTTAACCAGAATTATTAAAGGTCTGTGATAAAATCCAGCCTTTAAATTATCCATGTGCATGCAATAGTGCTATTGTATAAAATTTTTAATATAATCATCTTAAACTCAAGTGTAAAGTTAGTTGACCATTGATAGTACATTCTGATGAGGCAGCTTAACTGGTTCAAATGTCCAGATTATATTGAGAAAAAACAGCTTACTTACACTAAGCTTTATATGATCTTTTTTTTCTTTTAGACCCAGGAGCATATAGAAGAAAGCAGAACTGGATGGGCTGGTGGAGTATGATTTTGCTATCTTTTTTTTATATTTTAATGACACTTGACAGATTCTCAACTATGAAAGGACCATTTGAAATGTATTCAAACTGGCAGCACTTTTTTTTAATAGAAAAAAATATCAAGGTAAAAAATATAAAAGTAGTGATCCCTTCAGCAATTTTGTGCTAGACAATTTTAATGTACATTTAGAATTTTTTTGAGAAGAAATCAATCATATTCTTCATGTTCCAACCTTAACTTTTTCAACGAACTGTCTGATATGGATAATTAATATTACTTCTTAAACAAATATAATAAAGATCATTTTTTAAAAAGGAACATAGTCCCTGATCTGCCTAAAATTATCTTATTAATCATTAGCCATTTGAATTCAGGAAAAAATAAATATATTGAGTAGCCTTTGAAATTTAGAGACAATCTAACTCTCCTTAAATTTTATTATAAACTGAAATTAACTTATTATAAACTGAAATTGCTTAAAAACTAAAATGAATGTGTATATATATATTCATTTATATATGTTCATTCATTTTAGTTTTTAAGCAAAGTGATAGCAAATAGAAAGATGTGTGTTTGGTTCTGATTTGTGATCACTTGGATAAGCTTATTCAGTGATTTATGGGGATTTTTACTGTGAAAAAATAGGTTTTAAGAAAATATCAATTGTATCTAACATCCTCTATAAATAATACAAAATAAGACAGAATAAGTGAATGTTGCAAAGTTACTGCAACTTAACACAAAAATATGATTGAATTCAACTAGCATTTGGGTTTTTAAAAAGGCTATGTTTTCTGAGATTTTGACACATTCAAAGAAAGAGGAAACTCTTATGACTTGATTTAACACATTAACCCATAATAAAAGGACAACAAATAATTCAGAAGTCAATTCTAAGATGGTAAGTCTCATAAAAATTCAAAGTTAAAATGGGTAAGGAGAAGGTAAATTATAAAGTAAAAATCTTTAGATATTAAAAACTCTATTGAACACTTTTTCTAGATCCAATGATTTTAGTTTGCATATGTTTACTCAGTCTTCAGTTATACTCATTAGCTAAAGAATAGTTATTACTTTATTAATTTATATACAGTCAATGTAAAAAATATTCTAAAATAACAAGGTAACAAGGATACGTATAAGTCAGGGAAAAAAAACCCTGGAAAGTCCTATTTAATTTAATCTTTGTCACTGTACTAAATAACCCAGGAAAAATTAGGCATATTCAGTAAAAGAATAGGATCTTCTAAATATTTTGGATTCTTGGTTAATCAGAAGCTCGCCTTCTAGGAAGACTATTCCTAGACCAGCACTTGAAAACTTGAAGAAAAGGGAAAGTTAACTTATGAATTCACTCCCATTATAAAGATGCCCAGTAAAGAATGAGAGAAAGGGAGAAGGCTTAAAACTTCCTTTCATTGTGTTCTCCATGATGATAATATAACTAAGGTTACTATAAAGTAACATGAATGATGTGATTTTACAGATAGATAAGCAATGATACCAACAACCTTCTCAAAAACATAATTTTAGGAATCCATATGTTTATTCTGAAAATGGTATCAGCATTCAAAACATTCTGAAATATTTGCATCTTATCAATTTTTACACTCCATAGAGCAAACATTAGCTGGATGAATGGGTGAATAGATGAATAAATAAATAAATAAATAAATAGCCTTCTAAAACTATAGATCACTGTTTTAAATATCCTCAGTGCCTTGCCAACATGGCTCTGTGGTTGAGTGTTGACCTATGAACCAGGATTTCACGGTTCGATTCCCAGTCACGGCAAATGCCCAGGGTGCAGGCTCTATCTCCAGTATGGGGCATGCAGGAAGCAGCTGATTGATGATTCTATCTCATCATTAATGTTTCTTTCTCTCTCCCTCTCTCTTCCTCTCTGAAATCAATAAAAATATATTTTTAAAAAATACCTTCAGTGGAGGGACATAAGTATTCTTTGAGGGAAGATGAGGTTCTTATATTAAATCCAAAGTCTTGCCAAAATAAATCTAGTGAATAAATAAAGTATCTGCAGCACATGATTTTGTGCTAGATCATGTTAATACCTGTAGCTTTAGAATTCTATTGGGAAACATTATATTTCTTATTGACTAATCTCAAGCTCTTGAAATATATCCAGTAGTCAGTAAACTTTAAAAATACCAGAAGTGGAATTGTCAAAAATTCTTTGCAATGATGGCTTTCAAAAGTATGCTCACACTCTCCCAAGGGAACTGCTGTGAAGAGGTCATTCTTCAGATTTTATAGGTTCAGACATCTTTTTTAGAAAAAGACAGGGCACAACTTCATATAGTCATGGCTCCTTTGCCCTAGTATGCTTTTTAGCTTCCTTGAACCAATAATTAAACCAGTGGCTTGATAAAATTACCCAGAAATATGTCTCTCTGATATTTGTTCAGGTAATATTTATGAGGTTTGTGGACAAAATGTACAAGCTGGTTTTATTCATATACATTTAAAGAGTAACTTCAGAGCAGTTCTTCCTTTAGAACTTATCAAAGTGCTTTGAACTGAAAAAGACCTTCAGAGATTACCTAAGAATTAGAAAAGTGAGATTAATTGATTTGCTAAAATTGACCTGTTTAGTTGCAGGCACAAAACTAGCAAACAGTTTCTTAAGAACTTTATCACTTTTTTTCCTCCAGCATGAGATAGGCAGTGTCTGAAGTTGGGAAAAATAGCCTAAGTTTTTCTGTATTTGATCAGAAAGATAACAACAAATTCACTTGAAATAAATCTATTTTTTGCTCTTTATAGAAAACAGACAAAAAGGAGGATGTAATCAATGTATCTGGTATTTAATCACTAAGTTTGGGGGAACTGCAAAGCCACATTTAAATAATTTCAAAATAATTAAGCAATACACCACATCTCCTTTAGACTGTTGGCCAAATCCCTCAGTTTGGAAAAATAAATTTTCTACTTGATGCTTGGAAGTCTGTGCTTTGACTACATGTGGTGAACTCAGTTCAGGCATTAGCCTTAGTAAGTAGATCATTTGCCAACCTTAGCAAGAAATTATCTGGTGGTAAATAATCTTACCTTCCAAGTAAGGTATTTTGAGTGGCTTTGCACATAGAGATGAGTAATTTATCAGAAAATCTAAGCAAGATAAAGGGATCTGTGAAGAGGCTGGTGATAACTGTGATTTTCTCGGGTCCAGATGTGACTTGTTGGCAGAAGCACTTAAATGAGAATGCATTGTGGACCTAGCCCTGGCAAAGTGAATGAGGACACATTTCACACTCTCTTTACTGCACCCCAGTTACCTGTTTATCTAAAGTAGGTGTCTTTGATGTGAGCAGCAAAAGGGGAGAAGATAACAGTCTTTACTTAGCAAAAAATATTCTTCCTGTTTGCTTGATTCTAGTATCTTAAAAACATAACACTCTACCCTGTTATTATTTTTTATGTGAAAATTAAATCTTAAGTTTTAATCTAGAACAAAGGTTTTTCCCCCAAGTTTCTCAACTAACTTCAGGTGTGAGGAGAATATAGTTTTACTCTAGCACCTTAAAATATTTTGCGACCCTGGTTCCGTTTTAGCAGTTAAGACAACGTAAAGCCAGTTTTTTACTTTTATCTTGAAGAGTGAGAGGGAGGCATTGTAAAGTGGTTGCTACTAAGTATATCATCATTTGCTAAAGAAAGCATAATTTTTTCTAGAGTAAAAGAATGATTGCTGTGAGACATACACTAATGAAATTCTGTCCACAAAACTGCAAATCAGAATTTCCTATTCTTGGGACACTTGACTCTCAATTTCACTTAGAGGCACTGGTCTCAATACACAAAATGCTACCAAGGCTGGTCTTATTAATGAAATTAATAAGAGGTTCGTGCAAGGAAACCACATTTTCTCATTATTCCATTTTCATTTTGTTAAAGATTTATAATTTATATGCCAAAGTGATGACTTACGACACTGTTAGTTTCCTGGGGCTGCTGTAACAAAATACCACACTCTTGGTGGCTTAAAACTACATACATTCATTCTCTCACCATTCTGGAGGTTAGAAGTCCAAAGTCAAGGTGCCTGTGGAGCCCAGGTTCCCTCTGAAACTTCCAGGAAAAAATTCTTCCTTGCCTCTTCCAGCTTCTGATAGCTGCTGTCAATCCGTGGACGTGCTGAACTTGTAGCTACATCACTCCAATCTCTGTTTCTCCATATCTCTCTGTATCTCTGCATCCTCTTCTCTTCTTATGAGGACACTAGTCATTGGGTTTAGAGCAGTGATGGCGAACCTTTTGAGCTCGGCGTTGCAGCATTTTGAAAAACCCTAACTTAACTCTGGTGCTGTGTCACATATAGAAATTTTTTGATATTTGCAACCATAGTAAAACAAAGACTTATATTTTTGATATTTATTTTATATATTTAAATGCCATTTAACAAAGGAAAATCAACCAAAAAAATGTGTTCGCGTGTCATAGGTTCACCATCACTGGTTTAGAGCCTACCCTAATCCAGTCTCACATCTTGATTCTTACCTTGATTACATCTGTAAAGACTGTTTTTAAATAGTGTCATTGTCTTAGTCGGTTTGGGCTGCTTCAATGAAGTACAGACCGGGTGGCTTATTAACAACAGGAATTTATCTCTCACAGTTTTAGAAACTAGAAGTCCGAGATCAGGGTCCAGCATAGTCACATTCTGGTGAAAGCTCTCTCCCAGTTGCGCCCCTCCACCTCTTGTATCCTAATGTGGCAGAGGGCAGACCAAAGGAAGCAAGCAAGCTCTCTGGTGATTCTTATAAGGGTACTAATCTCATTCGTGGGAGCATCAACCCTATGATCTCATCTAACCCTACTTACCTCCTAATACCATCTTTGTGGGGGTTAAGCTTTCAACATATGAATTTGGGAGAAATATTCAGTCTCTAATAGTCCCCTTCTGAAATTCTGGATGGAAATGAATTGTAGGGAAGACTATTCAGAATATTACAGATACCATGTCAAATAAATTGCATTTGAAAAGTCACATAATCATATTCAATTTTATCAAAAGCATCAAATATCAGATCACACACGGGACCATCCCTAAAGTAGCAAACATCAACTTTCCCTATGTTCTTGCTCAAAAGGGAGCCCCAGGCTGGGTGTCAGCAGGATCGGTGTCTGTAGCTAAAAGATACTGCAGTCATTTGGCTGTTGTTGCTTGGTCAGTTCTACGGGAGTGGAGCATCATGTTCACCGCCATATGACAGCACGGGGCTAGAGAGAGCTGGTTTGGATTATCTGAGGGAATACAGACTCTGAGTGAGGTAGAGTAACACCTCCATCGTGTAGGTCTTTCACCACTTTACTGCCATTTCAAAACCTGCTGACCAGAATTATAAATACACCAGCAAATGTAAGATGAGTCTACATTTTTAAGGAGAGTAATTACCAGCTAAAATTGGGTGTGAGGACCTTGGCAGGCTTTTAGTTATCTGTACCATTCAGGATGTTGAGTTGTGGCCCGCCCTGCTCCAGGGCACACTAGAACTGAGTGTCAGAGACTCCTTAGGTCATTAAGAGGTGCCCGGCAGGGTCCCTGCAAAGAAGTCATGGATGCTAATGAGGTCTACTCTGCTCCCCAAGTTCAAGGACTAAATCCCCCACTTGCTTGTCATGGGTAACATTTTTCTCTCTAGCTTGAAGTCTCTCCCTAAAACTGTGGCTAGCAGGCCATGATATTTAATATTTCAAATGTCTTCATTGAATCACTGGCATTAGGTACTTGGCATCATACATATGAAGAATTAAAAGGGCTATCAGCCTTCATAAGAGCCCACATTTTGGTCAAATATCACATTTTGAAGACTGACTTGGTTAAATATCAACATTCATGTGTGATTCTTTCAACTCTCTTTCCTTTCTAGTCCATCACATCATCTCAGAACATACAAATTAAACACTCAATCAAATTAAACATTTTAAACCCAGGGGTTTGAGGTAGCAATTAAACAGTAGTTGGAATGTACAAGTGCCTGTTACAATCACTAGAAAAACCATCTACCTAAAAGAATGGAATTCCAGATGTGAGTGACGGAAGGTGGGGGTGTGGGGGGAGGTGTTCTAGTTCTTATACATATTGCTTTTAAAAATCGATAGTTTTAGTTTGGTTTGTCTTTTGAACATAACCTTTTCTTTTTCAGTTCTTTGTTTCAACACCAGTTTTCAGCTATGATTCCACTTCATACTACAAAATATTTAGCGACAAGGATGGCTACAAACATATTCACTATATCAAAGACACCGTGGTACGCTCCTTCCAATATTTATCTCCTCAAAGATCATTCATTTGAGCTTGCTCAAATAACGCTCAGCTTCATGCCACATAATGTTTGTCTTCTTATAGGAAAACGCTACTCAAATTACAAGTGGCAAGTGGGAGGCCATAAATATATTCAGAATAACACAGGATTCACTGTAAGTATTGCATGAAGCGTGTTGTCCCAATCAGGGTTTAATTAGCCAATGGACGTACAAGGGATCCTGCACCACTTCTTTCTGCTAAGAGCATTTTAGTTATCTC